ATCAGAAAAAGCTTCGTGGTGTGGTGAACCCATAACAAAACATTTGAAAACTACTGTCGAAATGCTAACCTTATATGAGCGAATACAACCTTATATGAGATATTCTGCTATGTACAATACATTACGGGTTTCGCGCAGGTGCAGTACGTTCTGCCGACGTGCTGTACCAGTACCAAAACTCCTGAGAAAGAGAGAGTCATAAATGTATATTATCATACAGCCAGGCGCGGCGTTGACCAATCAGAAGCCCCCATTCTATATTGATTATGACACCATAAAGTCACAGTTAGCATGATACAAGTATTGCAAAATATATATTCATGACTTCTTTCCCATCACTGGTAAATCCATTGCGTAAGGCGTTACTTTTGTATACGAGCACTCGGTTCCAGTGCCGGCGGTTTCAGCACTGTGCTGAGCGACCTTTGAACTGGCTCTGCCGCGCGATCTACTCTCCAAGCAGAGGTTGTGGGAGAATGATCGTTACCTTTTTATATATGGCCGTTTGTTTGTTTGTTTTCGTCGCTACCCTGACCTTCTCTGGCTAATGATTACCGCCTGGCCAATTTGAAACATGTACTGTCTTTTTGCCACCGAAAGGGATCTGCTTGGAGATTGTAGACCGAGTGCTGAAAGGAGTTCAGGGCTGGAAACCGAGAGCTGAGACAACGTTCAGCATTGGAATTCCAGTGCTGGGGGAGTTTCAGCTCTGGAAATCCAGTGCTGAACTTGTTCTAGCACTGGAATTCCAGTACTGACGCAATTTCGACCGCTGATTCAGCACTGGACCACCAGTTCGGAGGGCGTTACTTTTGCATATTTGCCAAACTGATTGTTCCTGATTAGATATCCTTTATTGACCAATCAAAACCCTCGGCAATCCCTGAACTTAAATGTCATCTTACCTTTTCCCATTCTCATGATGTCTAGCCACAGGGGTCATTTCCCAGGTTGCATAGCGCAGGGAGATTGGAACAGAACACACTGTTAACGTAAATGAGCTAATAAGCTTTTTTTTCTGTGTGTTTGAGCTTTTTCACATGGGACACGTGGTTTATACTCATGCCCGCAGGCCGGGGGGGGGGGGCGTGGAATCGTAGGAAAACGGCTCACTTTGTCATTGAGTTATCTCTGTTTTTTTTTCTTTGAAATCCTCTGAAAACTGCAGGAAATGCCATTTTAGAACGTTTATTTTTTATAATTTCTCGGGGTAGCATGCCCCCGGACCCCCCTAGGAACCTCGCGGGACGGCGCTAGCTGGTCCCTCAAGCAGTGGGAAGAACCCCCCCACCCCCACCCCCTTCAAAATCCTGGCTACGGGCAGGATACTGTTGCAGCTGCAATGATTCCACAGGGACACATAATTCCAAACAACTGGCACAATGCAACCCGAAAGATATAACAATGGTCATATTTTGTAAACAAATACACATAATTATATAAAGGTCAGTGGTGGCATATGGTTGAACACATAGTTTATTACATTACATCTTTTATTCCAGTGCACAGAGACCCTAGTTTATTACTTAAATAAATACAAAAATTGATAGGGAAATAGCTTTACTTATTTTTTTTCATTCCAATGACCTGTTCGACAGTTGTCATGAAGCAAACAAATCACAAAAAACACATTTCACCTTTAAAATCACAAAAAAACACATTTCACCTTTGAAATCACAAAAAAAACACATTTTACCTTTAAAATCACCAAAAAAACACATTTCACCATTGAAATCAGAAAAAAAAGTAAGCGTTAAAAACGAAGGGCTGTTGATTATAGCCAGTGCCTCAGAAAAGTCCTCTACGTCGTGAAAACACCTGATAATATTACAAAGTTAGAGCTATGGACTAACCATTTTCTACCTCTTTCCACTCTGTATGTTCCCATGCAATTAGCCGTCTGGCATGAGTTCATAAATATGAAATAAATACATATTTAGTATAGTTTACTGTATACAGAATATATTCAGTGTTGACGCACTGATCCTACATTGGGTACTTTTAAGCCAGTTGGGTAAGTAGTCCATTCAGAAATGGTGTGTCTAAACATACTTCTAATATTCCTGGATTCCAAGATGCGACACTAAAATGCAATGATCTACGAAAAAATAGACCATAACATCATCGATCAATAATAAGAAGTACTGTTAACAGTTACAACCACAATTCTTACGTTGTACAAAATGAGAAAGCTAATATCGTAATTGGTATTATTGGCGTAGAAGATTCATTTTGAAAATTCAGCAGTCATAATGATTATTTCAAAATGTAGCCGATTATTAATCCGTAACATCGATAGTTTCTTCATTCATTCCTAAATTGTCCTGTACTAAGTTTTCAAACATAGAGCGTCCATGTTCATATTGTTGCAGTTGCAATGATTCCACAGGGACACATAATTCCAAACAACTGGCGCTATGCAACCTGGGAGATATAACAATGGTCATATTTTGTAAACAAATACACATATATAAAGGTCAGAGGTGGCATATGGTTGAACACATACATTATAGTTTTTATTCCAGTGCACAGAGACCCTGATTTATTACTTAAATGAATACAAAAATGTATAGAGAAATAGCTTCACTTAATTTTTTTCATCCCAATGACCTGTTCGGCAGTTGTCATAAAGCTAAAAAAATCACACAAAAAAAACACATTTCACCTTTGAAATCACAAAAAAAAACAAGTAAACATTAAAAACGTAGGGCTATTATAGCCAGTGCCTCAGAAAAAAGCAAGTCCCTCAGGAATATACCTGATACAAAGTTAGAGCTATAGACTAACCATTTTCTACCTCTTTTCACTCTGTATGTTTCCATGCAATTAGCCGTCTGGCATGAGTTAATAAATATAAAATAAATACATATTTAGTATAGTTTGCTGTATACAGAATATTTTCAGTGTTGACGCATTGATCCTACATTGGGTACTTTTAAGCCAGTTGGGTAAGTAGTCTATTCATAAATGGTGTGTCTAAACATACTTGTAATATTCCTGGATTCCAAGATGCGACACTAAACTGCAATGATCTACGAAAAATAGATCATGTATTTTTTGGTCACTAATATCGACCGCTCACTATTGTGGAAATCATGGTGTTTCTGTTATGTTTCTACATTTCCTACCGAGAATTTAGCTGCAAGGCAGTCAGAAC